TATGATGAAATGCAGCTGCGAAGAACGTACTTTCTCCCGTTTAGCTACGGCAGGCAATAAGGTGCATTTAATATCTCTCTGTTAATTAGATTTTCCATGAAAACGCAAAAATTAGGTATTTATGTTGGATTTTTTTTATTACTATACCAACACTTTTTAGTTTTGTAAGTATTGGCTATATTAAGAGGTCTTATTTTATTTTATTCTTACTTCATTTTGCAAATTTATTTGAATTAGGCCCTCCAATTAAGATAGATTTTATGTTGTTGGTTGTAAAGATCTAGATGAATATTTTATTTTATTCTTTATTTCTATTTTTCAGTTTTATTTTTCAAGACTTTGTAAATTCTCTTTTATTTAATATTACTGGGCCTAGCCTTTTTAGTTTTGTTAATATTGGCAAGAGTGAAAAGTGTTTTTGTTAGTTTTGAATATATTCGATATAGGCTATCCAATTAAGGTAAATGGTCTGTTTTTAATTGTTAGAATCTGATGAGCAGTATTTCATTTCCTTTTTTGTTTTTTTGCTTTTCTGTTTTGCCCCTGAGGGATTGCCACCTTAACGTGGTCAGGGGGTTTGCGTGCCTTAGTGACCATAGAAACTAGACCAGAAGAAGCTTAGCCTTCAGGTGGGACACCCAAGTTGGTCAAGTCTAATTACATGACAAAAACAGTTATCCAGAGTAGGGCTGACACAGTTAGTTGAATAGCCATGATTACGTCAACTATCAAAATCGTCAACGACTAATTTAATAGTCGGCGTGTCGTTTGAAGCTTTGTAAAATCCTGAAAGATGAGGAATAACTAGTAGGATTTAAGAGTGTAATAACGGACTAAAAAAAAAAATGATGGCAGCAATGCATGTACAAGGATGCCAGCTGCTGTTAAACACCAAAGAAGAAGAAGAAGAAGAAGTAGCAGTCTAAATGTGAGTGAAGTTGCCCCCCCCCCCTTCTTTTTTTTCTTTTCCAACAAAAGTGGTGCTGCAAAAAATTTTGTTTGTGCCGCTTTCATTTTAAAGATATTAATAAAAATTTGTAGAGGTCAACAGAGGTCAACCAGCACCCCCACATTAATTAAATCAAACAAAAAGTAGTGTCAATCAACTATGCTACGTTGGTGCTGGTTTGTGCTGCTAAAAATGTGGGAGAAACGTTTTGTCACTTCTTCAGTCTCAGCTGAACTCTCAGGTTTCACCAAACTTATAAACAGTACATTTGCATAGTGAAGGAAACCAGCACCACTGAATGAACAATGTGCTGCGGGGTTAGTTCCATGATTGTTAGTATGCAAATTTATGTGACCATTGATCAATGACAACTAATCAAAGCCTACTGATCAAAGGCCATGAGTTGGGGAATTGACTACAGTTTCGTTTGATTTACTTAATG